TTTACAGCCATTAGGCCGCAGATTGTGAATGAATAAGGATCCCCGCCGAACGAAATTCCTACCTTGCCACGTAGACCATGAAAATCGTGCCCGAGTAAGACGTCGGCGCAGAGGTTTGGCATTACAAAGAGCTTCAGTTCATTGTATAAAGTATCTGTGTACCGGAAAGAAACACAAGCGCAACCAGTCGTTCGACAGGACAGGGATGTAGACGCCATTGTGACGACTGAAAAAGTTGGGTAAATTGTCCAATTATGCAGTTTCACGACGATAAAGTTAATGAAACCACAAGAACTTCCTGTATCGACCAGGACACGGAGAGCAATACCATTGACTTCGATGGTTGCGATGGCGTGTGCCAGACAGGTAGAAGCTGCTTCAACGAATAACGACGATAAAGTAGGCTTCGTTGTATAACTTTTGTGGAACTTGATGGTATTTTTCGAATGGTACACGCGCGGAAGTGACTGCGTTTACCACAAAGATTACAGACGGCTTCTCGAGAAGAGGCACTTTGGACGAGAATGTGTATCATAACCACAGAAATAACATGTTCGAATGGATTTTGCAGCAGCAGTCGTCGGATCGACACACAGTTCGGGATTCTGTGAAATGAACGGAATCACAGAGCAGGATATAGGTTCGTTACTAACATTTGTTTGTGAGCCAATTCGAGGGATCTAGCAAGCTGACATACTTGGTCCAGAATGGGTTCGCTCTGTGCTAAAAGTTTCTCGCGGATAGACGTGGACGCCTGTCCGTTAATTATAGCATCACGCACGTACGTATCTTGATATTCAGTTGCAGACACCGATTTAAACTCACAGTCTTCGGCTAATGATTTCTGTTTTCGTATGAACTGCTCAATATCCTGTTGGTTCTCCTGCTTGTAGGTCTGCAGCCGGTAGCGTGCATATATGACCTTTTTTTGGGCGGACATATAATTTTCGTAACGTATCGAGCGGTGACCAGCAATGTGATCGTATACTAGCGGATCCACAAAGTGGATGAGAGTTTCAAGTTTGTCTGGCTTAGAAGATTCAACAGTTTCCTGATGGGTTTTGAAGATACTAAACCAGCGGTTTTAGCGTTTTGCTGCATCTGTGGAGTTTGGGTCAGCGTCGAAGAACCGAGGTCGTAGTTGCGCGTTTATTGTGTTCTTAGACGTGTAAATTGAGACGTTTAGAATGTGTCCGAGAACGACTTAGATCAGAGTCCGGGTTTTCGAGGATGAACAACGTTTTACTTGTCTAAGAACAAGTGTGGATGAGTTAAAATATGCATACAAAGGTTCAATACGAGTAAGTATATTAATAAACACAAAAATGACAACTATCCTCAAGACTTAGCTGAATCAAACCCAGACCCTGATCTTGTAGACCAGCCAATCGAAGTGGTAGGCAGGTTTGTTTACCTGTGAGGTTCCGTTGCATTGGCTGGAGACGATTCCTTTTCATTGTTTATTTTGGATGAACAGACCAAACCTTTCCATATTAAGACGCTTGTGTACTTCCATGATCCACTGCGCCATACTGAGGGTTGTCCGCTTCCTAATCGTCGTCTCATCCCGCTTTAGCCACTGGGTAGATGTCCGACCAACGTAGTTTTCTAGTCTTCTGGGTTTCAGTGTGAAAAATCGAAACCTAATTGCTAAACTGTTGTGGTGGTCTTGTGCCAAATATTACTTCCTTTTGGTCATGCTTTTGGGTCAAGTACTTTAGTTGAGTGCTCACCACTCCCTCTCTACGTTTGGGCTCCTGCGTAGACATACAACCGTGAGCTGCACAAACACCATCGGTACTATGCCACATTGGCTGTTGAATGGCGTTGTTCGCCGTGGTCGACTTACTTGCTGTTGCTGCATAACGTAGAGCGAGTAAACAAAACTTAACGTCTATCCTTCCACCTCCACCCATGCAAAATCCCATGATCATCCAATCACTCACTGTTGCTGTCACCACAGCAGCGGAGCGTTCAATAATTTACCAAACTCTTGGAGCAAGTCAGCTGTCAACTACGCTGTTTGAGCTACCATACCTCTTTCTTATCAAAAATATCTTTCATTCCAATCCTTTTCGGTCCACGTGGTGAGTATCCATCATCAGGTCCTTGCTATGTCTATGTCGACCTTGCATTTAAATAAGAAACTCAAGATGACACACCCATATCTTCCGAGATGCGTCCATTTCTCAAGTCTAATCCTATTGCCGCGAACCTATCCGTTGCCTCTTCAACTTTTAAGCAAATGGAGCTACTCCAGCGCGCACGTTTGGAAATCCACACAGTTATTCGTTTACCATATTTCGGAGACTGTTGGAAGGTCAAAGTTCGGTGGTCTTCTCGCTAACTTCGTTATATCTTTGAGCTGCTAATCTCTGCATGTCAACATTGAGCCCAGTTTGGAAAATGACGTAGCCAAAGGTCTTCCTTTTCTTGGTATTAAGATACACCGTTGGATTGATTTGTCCATTCAAAAGCCAATATTTAGCAAGCGCTTTTAGACAGCATAATACCTGCACGTTACCAGTTTCATGTTAATGCGTCTTACAGGTATCATGGTCAAACCTTTGCACGATTGAGCCTGATAAATTTGCACCAAGCCGAACTCTTAAGCATACCTTCGAGCTTAGAGATTGTTTCGAGTTTTTCCTTAAGGAACGTGGTGTGCAAGCATGCACACTAGGGGATGTGATCACTGTCCGTAGCATCATCTGCCGTTTAAAGGAGACAACGTCGGCAAGATCTTACGATGTCGTCTGACAGCTGCAATTTAGAGGTCCTACTACGCATCCAGTTCGGTCCTTTTTCACAAAACAAATTATGTTCTAATGCCGTTAGTCGAATTTTCATTACAACCGTCCGCCAAATCCAACACTATTATCCGATCCACCTATTGCTAAACGGACACGAATAAGAACCGAACGACAGCTGGATTGAGAATAGAGCGAGCACGTGCGGTTGAGAGTACGGAGACAGCTGTATCGAACGCATTCTTCAGCATAACGTCAAACGCATTAGGATCATATCCCACACTACCGGTCTCGTCAGCTGAATCGTCTTGCATGCTTGGGTAACCTTGCAGTATTCCAGCCCTCGTGCTCACTTCAGATGGCATGGCAGCTTGGCACCTAAAGGATGCTACAGCTGAACGAATTTGTCTCACGTCGGTCGTGACGTGGTCACATCAGCCGAGTCGCCTTATTCGCTCAGGGCGGGAAAAGCGAAAGAATGCGACTAATCACTGTCATTATCTTTCTTCATTGCTATCTCTCTTGAATCCTGTTGGTTGTCACTTTGTAGATCTCAACTGAAGGTACTTCATTCAGACACTTGAAGAATTGACACATTGTGCGCCACCGCTCACACCTCCCGCTTCGCGCCCGCCATTCAGGCCTCGTTCTCCTGCCTTTAATTGCATACTTTAACTTGAGAGCAGACTGGCTAACAAGCTGACCCTGTGCGTACTCCAGATTCTCTATCGAGTGACGTCTGCTGAATGACCAAAGACCGAATACAGGGTCCAGGAACAGTTGTTGAGTCTATGGCACCCTGTTTATCCAGAGGCTACGAACATCAAGTGGTCATGCAGCTCCTGCAGCGGGTTGTGCTGGTGTTGGCGTAGTCTTCAGTTTGCGAACCCAGAGTTCGCTCGACTGTAAACGGTCAACTCTGTGCTGTCCGATTTTCCACTTCGATAAAACCTCACCGTCGTTCAGCTCTAAGACCCTTTCGGTACCTAGCTGCCACGCCACCTAAAGGAAGTAAGAGGTGTCTAAGCGTAGACAGGAACCTCTCAGATGTTGGGGTTAGTTTCAAACCACAAAGGTTCTGGTCAGTAAGTTTGACGGTGTTTCGGCATGCGTAGCGTATGACCGACCCATCGTAGTCGGTGGTGCTGAATGTTTTCCCGGATTGAAGTACCTTCAGCCAAATACACGTTTCCTAATCACATCGTTACTAACACGCTGACGCCATCCAAAACCAGCCACGCTCCTGAGGCATCGGTGGTTGAAAACCTGATGACACTTCACATTATCTGTCCGCACTCATACAGCAACACAGCCCATACTGTAGCCTAGTACACACGACCTTTAGTATCTAGTGAGATGCGGTATCCCGCTAACTCTTTTATTAACGATGCGGTCATCTTTAGGATGACAATGTCGGGTTATCAGTCGCTAGGAAATGGGAGAAACATAGCTTAGTTATCGGTGGTTACGTTTGCCAGATGGATGACGAGTACACTGGTGGTCCACAAAGCATATCCTGCCAAAGCCTATTTATCCGGATGTTGCGCGAATCTACATGGCCGAGGCTGTCTTGGGAAGACAATCCATTCCGATTGGCTAGCTTCTTTTCAAGCATTGCAAAGCGTCTCAGAGTTTTACACGCTTTCTCAAGTGGATGTTCTGTCGAACGCATGGTCTCATGTCCTAAACTGGAAGTCACGTGTGCTTGTAGTTACCAAATACTGTCCCAATAGCGGAATTCCAAGCGCCCACGATTTTCAACGTCATCTTCCAGCTGACCGCAGACAACTTTTGGAATTGACCGCATGATCATCAGCTGCAGATGGATCATTCCTAGACTCCAGGTTGCTTCAGATCACGCCCTTGTTCAGTGCAGATTTTGAACCTTAGCCATCTACCAAAAGAAAAGCCTTTCGGACCACAAGTTAAGGAAGCATACCAAAGTCTATTATCCATCACTAGTGAGGGTGAGATGGCCTAAGCGGTTACAGCGCGAAGTTACTGCCCGGAAGGTCGGTGGTTCGAACCCGACCTTTGCCTCTCGACTCCCCCTGTCTAGGCTTGGGCAACCTGGCAGTATCCCAACCCTCGTGCAACCTTTGGGTGGCATGGCAGTTAGGCACCGAAAGGGTGCTACAGCTGAAAGTACAACAACTACAGCATCACTAGTGGCCCCCTCGGATGACATTCACCTTACCTAGGGTGAGATAATCATGCTGTAAGTGACGCCTGCACGTGGTTTCTTCAAACATGTACACAGAATCTGCTGAATCTCAGGACAGTCATTATCACTATTTGATGCGAGGCGCTCCGTCCGTTCGGGCTTACAGTAAAATTCAGCTGGGCGATGAATCAGACGATAGCCCGGTCATAGCCTATGTATGGATAGAGAGGCGCAATGGAGCCGGAAAGTTTAGCAGGTGAAAGTGGCCCTTCCGGGTGGGAGTGCACAGAAGCTTTTCCAACTAATCCGCAAAACGATATTTAAAAACCCTGTAAGTGCATCAACCAATCATAATATTGGAAACCGAGCACGTAATAAAGACGAGTCCAGGTTATTTGGTGTAATTCACTGAACAGTCTATTTGGCCCCCTGATTCGCTCATATTTAGCCGTGGTCTGTGAGTTTCTTCCTTGAGATACTTTCGGTCTACCTAGCCAAATACGCTTCTAGCGTCGTTCAATGGTGGAAGAGAATCTTATTTGGTTAGGTTGTTTCCGCGTATTTGGGGACAAAAGTGTATTTCAGGAAAATGAGACCAGTTGCTGGTCCTATCCTTATTCGAAAAACGTGAGCCTACTGTTCCGTCAGGGGTGTAAGCATCACACTTGCCGTAACATGGCTACTGGCTTCCTTTTTATCAGACGCCTATCTCCGGCGTGTAATTTGCAATTTTGATAGTACCAAACAGGATTTTGACCTAGCAGCGGGTGCGTTGGTCGTATCTCTATATCACATCAAGTGCTTGAGTTGCACCGAATGTACCACCGACCAACAGTCATGGTTTTTCTAGACTCTAAAGGAGCTTTCGGCTCTGTGGATAAATTTTTTTTTAAATATTCTTCGTCAGAAAGATGCCTTTCAAGTTTGCATGTTGTATTTCCGTACATTCAGTTAGGTTGAGGTGTACTGTAAATTATTTACACACCTTGGAAAATCGTAAACATTGGGTTACCTTGATCTAGTCAGAAGGCATAAGTTTGGGAGTTTAATATTTTGTATTACTTTTATCGGTGGCAGACGTAAAAAAAACTCAACGGTTATAGCTGACGGATACATTAACATTGAGTTCATTACGTTTGACTAAACACCACCTTGGAAAAGGGGATGATTCAAGTTCAGCTCCAGGGCAATTGGACAGCCTGAATCAATATCTGCGCACGCGATTCTACTTGATGTTCTCTTATCAACACCGCTTCACAAAAGGCCAGCAGTTTCGGGGTCCGATTACGTAACGGCATGATGAAAGTATGAGGGGCCTCAGCGAGGTGGTTTGTCTCAGGGATATCTTGGGCACTCCGTAACCTTCATTTGGAGAACTGAATCAGAGGAGCACAACTATTATCATCTGGTATTGCTGTCAATGACGACGATGGTGACAACAACGTAAACACTGCCGTTCGCGATAGCTCAGGGCGATGCGATGGCTTCTGTTCAAGAGGTCGATACTTCAAAATACTCTTACTTATTCATGTCAACGCTAGGAAAAACTTGGTGGTCGTCATGAGGTTCCTTCCATGTCTACATCTGAAGGCCAGCACAGCCTAATCCCTCTACTTGATTGTGTCCACTGTCCGTGAGCACTGGCTTCCTTATGCCCTTAATTTTTTCTCTTTTCCAGGTGTCTTGTGCATCTTCACTTGGCGGCTTTCTAGTTTTCGAATATGTCCAAAAAGAAATCTTTTCGCTACTCAAGGAATGCGAAAAAGCTACGAAGGAAAGAGAAAGCTCGCTTGAAAATTAAAAAGTGAGTCTCGCCAATGATAAAAGGCTTTTTTGCTTGCTGACACTGGGGCATGCACTGGAAGATACAACAATATCTTCCCACGAACAGTTACGGGTATTTGGTGCTTAAAATAAGTGAAAATTTTCAGAGGAAGGACTTCTACCTTAGTTGAGTAGAAAAGCTATAGCCATGTTTAATCAAATATCATTCAAAGAGGAATTAATCTGCATTTTGATGTTTGTGGCTCAACAATCTTCCTATGGCTTAGTGCAAAAGTGGCTTGACTTGGTTGCATCGCATGGCCTTGTGACCCCAGGTGACTCCGATTGGTTTCTGTTACCTCTCAGTTGCTTTTTGGACTACCTTTATGGTATTTTTAACCCTTGTTTATCTCTTTTGTCTAGTCCAATAATTGATTCAGCATGGAAGCATGGACTTTCAGTAAAATCGAACTTCAACCGTTTGGGTATCGCTTACGATCCTAATGAGGTGCTAAAGATTTCCAGCCGACAAGTAAATCTCTACTTATCGCCCTGCATGCCCGCCCATAGTTTTTCAAAGGTACCACAGATAGTGTACCAAAGGTACAAAAAAAGACGAAAGTGGTTATGGGTAAGCAGCTGTTTCTCTGTTTTTCAATATGTTTTGTTTTAGCCCTCGAGGAAGCCGCTAAGCATGCAAAAACAAAGCCTACGTATCAATCTGAAGACAATCAGCTTTTCTGCATGTATAATATGGAAGTCCATGGCACAGATTTTTTGGTGGGTCTTTCCATTCTTTTCGTCATTCACTGTTCAGGCAATGAGCAGAGATCCGAAAAATGTGTACCAGCTCACTCCGAAGCAACTACAACGATTGATTGGCAAATTCAAAAAGACCCCGGGCTATCAGCAATATTTATCCCAAAAGGAAACAGGGACTTTCAGCGTTGCAGATGTTTACGATATTTCAGTGGCCTGACACTTGATACCGTACACCTATGTAAATAGAGTTCTTTGACAATGATGACTTCATTGTTTACTCTACCAGCTACTAGTCTACCCTCATATCTCCCGAGTAGTTTGGTGACAATAATATGGGGGAAAGCTATCTTGTTGCTGTTAGAATAGTCCCAACAAGCTTTCTGGTATTTCTATGCAGTTGTGTATAATTTGAATCTGGACGAAGCCTCACTGTCCAATAAAAATGTTCCGATGTCAGCCAACACGTTAGTCCCATTTGTTTCGTAAGTGAAGCTTGTGAAGGCATCTCATTTTGAAATATCTAACCTGATGAAGCGGTTTGTATCCAAAAGCTTTTTCTCTAGATAGTTATGCGTCTGAAGAAATAACGTTCACTTTTAGCATCCAGTATTCAGTAAAATACCTAAAGATGCCACTGGTTGTGATTTTTAAAAGCCCCCATCAACTCCCTATTGCAACTCTTAGAGAATTGTCCCTACACCAATAATTATACGGTTTTTTCCTGCGCAGCGAGTAAACGTTTAAGCATCCGGTTACAACACCATGAACAGTGGATCCCCCTCCAGGGTGAAAATCTTTTGCCCATCCAGTAGTTTACTTGTCAACCTTTTCCTATACACCTAGTCACCACAGATAATCCTATGGTCATGAGTGTATTGCCGTAGCTATATTAATGGGTTACGCAGGTGCTTTCCATTTTTGTCCTTATCTCTGATGGTTGAATGCAAGACACTTCACTGTCCCTGATTCACGTTAACTTGGCAGTCAGATTTGAGTACCACCACGATTCTCGAGCCCCACGGGCCGGAGCGCCGTTCATCAAGATGTCATATATGTCTGAAGTGTAAGAGGGGGCGGCCAAATATGGAGAAACCAGCACTTATGTTGCGATTACTTGTGCTACAGGGTAATCTTAGACTAATTTCCATCTTTTCTCTATGCTAAATGTGAGAACAAGTTTCTCTCAGGCACCCAACAATTTCTTATAAAAATGGCCATATTACCTTTTCACGAGGGGTTGGGTGAGAGTTTAATCCCCAAGAATGTAAATCAGTTGTCCAGCCTCTGGATAGAACTATCGGAAACTTGTCGAATATGACTATTTGTCTACTGAATCCTTCACAAATAACAACGAGAAAATAATTACTCATGTGTAACACGCTTTTGATGCCCAGATTCCATGCCACTTGAAGGAAACACAAGGAGGTTTGGAACTTCCGATCAGTAAGTTCGCGTCTTAATCACTGAGCCGTCTCGGCTCAATCTTTCTAAGAGCCCGATACTGTACTCAATAGTACAGTTTATGCATTGCGCGCTCGATCTAAGTCAGTCCTCCCTCCTCGGCCAACTGAGCCAGACTACTGAATTCAAAGAATTTTTCCCCTCACAACCATGTACAGATTTGAGTGTGCTAGGCGAAGTGAAGTAATGACACGGCATAAAAGTACGAACACCATAATCAGCTGCTGGGGTGGTACTTCTGGCCTCCAGACGAAATACACCAATGGTTGTGGACTCTTACTGTGTCAGACATTGTCCGGTGGCGTACCCAATAATATGCATGCATCTGACCTGTCACTTCAATTCATAGCTCGCTCTCATGGTCTGTCCACCATGTTCATAACTACTCTCTCCCTTTTCCCGACATCTTTATCGAAACGGACTGTAGAAGGCGATTTACGCGACCCTCAGTAATCGGGCTCGGACAACCTGAAACGCAACCTGTTTGAAAGTTTTCACGAAACGTTAGGCCATTTGTAGGCGAATTTCAACTTTCATTTCATATGTGCAGTACTTATTGTTTCCAAAAGTGGCCCCGTCGTTCCCCAAGAGGATACACCTTTTAGGTTAGGCCCCAGTTGCAGTGTAGACTGATGGCTGGTAAGTCGATTGAAACAGTGCACCATAGTTCGATATTTATGGGCTTCTGATGTCTCATTAGCGAGTCGGATCATAAAATACAGACACCTAGAGGTGAGGTCATACCTCTGTTATCCGATAGACCTTCCCCTGAATTAGCTGTCGAAGCTGCTTATGTTATAATGAACTTTTACACCAAGTGTGAATCGCCACTCCCCCACATGGGGGAATCGCCCATTGAAGACTACACAATCACTGAGAGGATTGCGTGGCTTACACGTTAGGTCTAGCCTTGATACCGTCCGCGTACAGTGTTGATGACTTTGAATACTTCGGGCTCGACATAGCTCAGTGGTTAAGGCGCCAGCGGGCCACTGCTTGAGCCCAAATTCAGCACACCTGCTCCTGTCTAGGTTTGGGCAACCTGGCAGTATCCCTGGCCTCGTACCTCCTTTCGTTAGCACCGAAAGGGTGCTGCAGCTGAACGATTTTTTGAATACTTCGGCTGTGTTAAAGTTGTCTTTACACCGAATCATGTCAGAACCCTCTACGTTCTTTGCAGACCTTTCAGATTTTAGAGGAGCACCTGTCAAGCTATCACCGTCGAACCTTTTCTGTTATGAATATGTGGCGTGTATATTTTGATGCACTGAGGATTTTGCCGTTTTGTACAGACAATGTGCTCCAAACTCTCCGCCTGATAAAATATAATTACTGTAGCACGTGTTACATCGGCTTATGGATACACTGATTATGGCATCATAGCCAATGAATTTTTATTTCGACTCCCCTGGCTTTTCTCATACAGAATGATCGTCAATTTTAGTAAAACCGGTGAGACCTTTCTAGTAATCATCTAGGACAAGGCTTACGCATTCCAGTCACTAGACATATGTCTCTTACCAGATTCGTCACCTGTATCGAACAGACATACGTCTATGCTAGATAGCTGCTGTCTACAAGACCCAGTCCCTGGTTTTTCAACCTACCGAACCTTCTTGCGGTCATCTCTGGGTTTTTTCCTATAAAAGGCATGTTAATCTAGAAATGTTTGCTTCTTTATTTCCTCCATAGAATGCCGAAACGAATTAAAAGTTGCTCAAAAATTCACCAAAAACGAAACCATAATATTCCTCTTACCTGAGCCGACTAAAGCCCGGTCGCTATCTTTCCCTGAACTGAAGTGAACTATGCAAAACAGCCTCTAATGTAGGTCACCTAGTCTTCTGCATCAACTTATTACTTATCTTCAGGATTTGAAAGATCTTCCAATATTCTCAAGTCTAGGAGATAAATTTACAGTTTCTCATCGTTGAACAAAAGTAGTTTTGGCAAAAGTGTGTACAAATACACGAAATACAGGTTGTAAGTGCGGCTCGTCTACTTCTTTTTTCTCTTTGGCGGGGTCTGTTTGGTTGGAGGTTTAGGTATTCCCTTCGCTCTGGCCTTCCCCTTTGCGTTTGTCTCTTCAGGGGGGTATTTAGGCGGGACAAATTCAACTCTCTTTCCCAAGCAGTTTTTCTGAAAAACAATTAAAATGAGGTAGAGAGATTTTCTATATTTTTCAAGGAAATGAGCTCGATGCATGGAATACTCCACCTGCAGAGCAGTCAACGGATTAGTGGAAGGTCTGCAACAAGTGAACTTTCTAACTTTTGTTCCAGGTCTACATTCTGAAGCGATTTTGCTTATTCGGTTGTTGTTCGGAATGGCGCGTTGTGCAGCGTTTCTCAATTTAATATTTTGACCGTCAAGTATACTTGATCGTCACTTTGGTACCTATTGATAATATCCCATTCATTTAAATATTCAGCAAGTCGAATTGCGAATCCGTTTTGATTCTGGCACCATCGCAAAAAGATGTTCAAGTTCAAATACGACCGACAGTGCTTTTCAGCTCAGACGTGAATCGTAACCGCATGTTTTTGAATCAGATGCTTGTTGGATTGGTTTTATCGGGAGTTGATGACCGGGCTTATGAAGGTTTTTAAAAGGTTTCTGCTGATGCCCTAGGTTATGCCCTTCTTTGTTCCAATCCAGTGGTCGTCTTATGCACAGTCACAACGAAAATTTTATGGTCAAACGTCACAGCATGGTCGACGTATTTTTTTCAATCCCAACTGTCACTTTATTACTTCATTGAAATTTTCTTTGAGGTTCAAAATATGCTTTTAGAACTAATGTTATCTTTGAACCGGCTTCACACGATTTTCGGTTAGCTCATTTCATCTAAGTTTTCAGGATACTTTGCAAATGGAGCCTTAATTTTTGGCTCTCATATTCCACTCAGCTTTGAGTACATTTATGGAGGCGTAGCTTAACGTTACCTGTCGGCTGCAGGCCCAGTGAAAAAGTCAATCAGTCGTTCATCTGCAACACACTCTCGATGCATAGCTGTTATGCCATCCGGAGGGAGCATGAGGGCTGACATACTGCCAAGTTACCCAAGCCTAGGCAGAAGCAGTCAAAATGCTGAGGCTGTGTTCGAATGACCGACCTTATGGTCGGTGAGCTATCTCAAGCCAATATGGACTTACGAGAATGAAATACTAAAGTGGGTGACTTGAAGTACAGTGATCTTTTAGTTTATTGGAAGATGTTTGGAGCCGATTGAGTGCTCGTCGTTCCAGAGGGGTTCCGTAAACATTCAATGGACCTATTGCTGGGCAATGTTTCGCGTTGGATATGAAGGCTTAGTCAGGCAAATGAATAAGCTGCCAGTTAACCAAGCTTTAAGACAGTCTAAGAACCAATCGGTGAAATTTCTTACGACTCTCTCGGATGTTCTTGTTTTCTTAGTGAATACGAGTGAGATTTTGAGATCATCGATAGGCAGTATGCGCGGCGACTCAGAAGCATGTATACACGTATATATCTATTAGTGATCGCCAGACGTAGTTTCGCTGTTTCGTTTCGTTTCATCATTACGCATTAACTGAAGGGGCTCCACTTCCCGAAAAGTTTGTCATCATCATCAACAGCATGACTTGCTGCAAACGACAGGGTTGGTATGCGAAAACAGGCTACTTATGACGCTTACCTTCTCTCTCTCACATACTTCTTCTCCCCCACCCTTTAGTAACACCTCTTATTGGCCCATCCATTAGGATCCCGTTCATCTTGCATCGATGTTGTTCGAAATATTTGCGCATCGGCGTGTGCCAACAGCCTCAGGTATCTCGGAATCTATCTTCAAGCCTCGACACCCGGTCTACCCGATCGTTGTTAATGTTCGCACTCTGAAGGAAGCAGGACAACACGCTTCTGATCTTAAGCTGAACTCACTTGCATCCATGTGTGCTGTTTACAAGAAAAGAACTCGAGATGCAAGCACAGTAGTTCGACTGATTGCCATACCAGTCTTCATTTGCTTTCGAATACGGTACTCAGATACCGCTGCGGCAGATTCTACAGAGGTCGGTTTTGTCCTAAGTCACCTTGGTTGACTGGATACCCGTCTAGTTGCATCTGTGCGGCTCGTCTGGTCTGGTTAGTCTCACAAGTAGGAGGTTGATTGTTTTCTGATTGCGATGACTGCATATGCCCCAGCCAGCTGTAGCTCTGACATCGTCAAATACAAATTTGACTCCATGAATGCCCTGTTAAGGCGAGCTAAATGCTCAGATATCATTGGGATTGCTGGAGATCTGAACATAAAATGGAGGGAATCAGCACATATAAGACTGTTAGTTGGTCTACAGGGATTGGACTCGGTATGTAAGGGCAATGGCGGACGAGTGCTTTAGCTTTGGGCTGACTACAGACTTTTTATGCAGTACTATTTTCAGAACTCACCGAAGTCGTCAGGCCCAATGGCATCCTCTAGCAACGTACTAGCCAAGAACCAAACCTGATCACGTTGCTACGATCAAGATGGCGCGGATCAGCAGCTAACTGCCGGTAGTTTTGGAATAAATTTGTGGTTTCTGACAGAGCGCTTGTTTGGAGTCGCTTCTTTCTTAGTGTCTCAAAGTCACGTCGAAGCCAGACGAATCACTTGGCACCTGAGAATTTGGCAGATCCCGAAGTTAGGCCAACCATTTTTCGAACTCTTCCAACTGCTCTACTGTAGGATGTCAGTGCATACTGAAGATCACTGCATCTTTGCATAGTGCTGGGAGTTTTGTCCTTGGCACAGCACTACCATGTCTGCTCAAGCCCTGTATATCGGCTAGAACAGTGACTTCCTGGGTCCTGAATAAGTACTCTCGGTGGCCCCGAGAATAATTTTCCCAACGAATTGTCAGATGTTGAGTGTCACTTATCGTGCGCGCCTATCGCGAAGCCAGGTGGATACAGAAAGGTTGAGGAAATGGAAGCGGCACAGAAAATCGGGAGTGTCTGGGGATTAATTCATTTAACCCTCCCGACCGGCTCGTGGAGACTGGCTGTGAGCGAAACTACCAAGGATCAGAGTGGAGTGACGATCTTCAATAAAGCCAGCGCCTTGATCGCTGGACCGAACTCTTTGAACAACACTTCGTGGCCACCTGCTACCACATACTTGGATACTGGAAGTGCAGCAGGACCCTGGACGTTGAACGTGAGGCCTCCTAGGGCCTCGAAGGTTTATGACCGCATGTATTCTTTCTAGGTCTGGATGATCTCCCACTCGCGTTGATAAATGATAGGTGTGAAGTCCTCAGCCAGCGCTTCTCAATTCTATTTAACTCCAGTTAGCAGAAATAATGTCTTAGACGATTGGGGAGATTCAATGATATTGCTCATTGTAGTGTGGTAATCACAGACTGGTTTGACTCCTGTCTTAACGATGCTCTCGGTGTCACTAGTTCTTCGTCTCCCTATGATACCCAGTGAATTATTGACTCCAGAGCAGCAGGTGAGATTTTAGCCTGATAGGGGTTGCCTTAACTAAATCTTCACACTGCGTCATGTTTTGAACCAATGCCATGGTATAAACAACCAACAACTTTAGTATTTTTGGACTTCTAAGTTACATTCAAGTCAGTTAGTTGACCAGTCCGTTCTCTGTAACCCGCCTATCCAGTGAGGAAAGCGCCGTTAGACTGAGAATGACACAAATTCACTGTATTCTCATACTTTCGGGCGTGTAAATAAATAAATATAAACAAATAAATAAGATAAGATAAATGAATACGCCATTTACACTGCAAGGGGACGCGACCGAAACTGGAAAGTTTCACGTACCTTGAAAGTTGTATTGTTTCCAATTGCAGTATGAGAGTTGAGGTCAATTAAAAAATTGGCTTGTACCGTATTTGCTAATTTGAGACACCTTTGGCATAAATGCGGCATATCCTTGGATTCCAAAGGACGTATGTACAATCGTTTCAGAACTGCTTGGTACCAGCTTACGGTACGGGTTTTTTTTGTTGTATGACTGTGAGACAGCGGAACTGAGAAGCAACCGTTGTCTCAACTGTAACTCGTGTAGTTTGGTATCGGCTAATCCATAACCGGGCAATTAAGTAGCTCGATCTTCGTTTTGCAACCGGGACTTCCACCAAAGCATATGTCCAGTTGCAGGAGCTGCAGAGGTTAGGCCATGCGTTGCGCATACCGAATCATCATCTACTGAAGAGAGTGCTGTTTTCCCAATTCAGAGTGATGCAAGCAGAGCGGGGGCTAACCCTTGACATGACAGAGGGATTATAGGAGTTTAAGATGCGACTAGCCTTCCAGGGTTGGGACGGCTTGATATCCACGGCGCCTGTTTTGAGACGTTACATGATATGGCTGCTAGTCAATGTCCTTAGCGTTCCTGTTGTCATTTTCTATCCAGATAACCTGACTAGGTGCCTAAAGGTTTAGGAAACTCATAGTGACTATGTTTTAGCAGTGAATCCATTCATTTCCTTTTTTATTCAAAATAAGTCTGAAATAAAATATAGTTGCACTGCGGCAGGTATTTCAATCGTGGTAAACATCCAACACCACCAACTACGATGGCTCGGACGTATGCTATGCATGCCGAAACACCATCTACCGAGACGAGTGTAGTTCTCCGTACTTTGTTCAGAGTGGCACACATTTTGAAGTGGACAACACATGACTTGGCAGAAGGGTGTGAAGGAGATCACGTTATGCATCCAGATAGTGATAGTTTGTATTCCCAGCGGTGCCCAGTAGAACGCCCCACAAAAGACGATATAATTGTGACTGGTTTCGGAGACCCTTCTTCTGTGTTCAACCTTTCTGTGGAAGACAACCAACTGTCAAGGTGCAATGCCCGTTTTACATGGCCATTACCGTTTCAGGGGTTTCCTACCGATTTCATCTTTATCTTTTGATAATTGTAAGTTCCCTTATCCATTTCCCATCAAACATTGATACTATTAGGATATGCAGCTCTGAATTTTCACAAAGGAGACAACTGCGGAGGAATCGATGTTACCCCGTCAGCTGGTAAATATAGGATAGAAGGATTTGAGAAAAAAGTGCGGTTGATCCGGGAGTTCAGCTTAAATTCTCAAGAGAGAGCTCAGTGTTTAAGACACGAGCTTGCTAAATAGGAGGTCCCAACCCGACTTCTGCATCCCGGATGCTCCTGTCTTGGCTTGGGCATTCTGGCAGTATCTCAGCCTCCATACTTTCTTCGGTCTCCATGGAAGCTAGGTGCAACAGCTGAAAGATTATTGTGTTTTTATTACCTAGAAATTCGACGGCTAGGCCCTTATAGCTTTAGTTTGTGGAAGCAACTCTGTTCAAATCCGGTGAATTGAGATTTATTGTTTTATCTCTTATTTCCTCCAAGTTGTTCGTGCTGTTAAATACTATTCATCCTTGCTTTTCCGAGGGAAGCGCTCCCCAAATGGCCCAAGTGGTTAGAACGCGAATTTACTGACCGGAAGGTCCGTGGTTCGAATCCGACCTCCGCCATTCGACTTCCCCTGTCTAGGCTTGGGCAGCCTGGCAGTATCCCAGCCCTCGTGCTTCCTTCGGGTGGCATGGCAGCTAGGCACCGGAAGGGTTCTACAGCTGAACGCTTTATTTTTTTCTTATCTTTCAACGTTAAATTTCAACCATTGAGCACAAAGTTCCCCGATTCAGACCACAGACTATAAGCTGCATTGATTTAGCACTGCAGCTGCCGTCTGAACAACACTTTGTACCCAGCGATTTCCAAAAATTGTCTTTTTGAGGTTTCTAATCCGTTGATTGGCGCCGCATTCTGTTTTGCATGTACACGTCCAGTGGGTTTAGGTTGGCATAAGGAGCCTACTTACTCTGTCGATGATTTCACACTAACTCTCATAGTCTCCTACCGAATCTGGTCGAAGGATATCATGTGACGGATAATCATTGTTTCACGAACCATACTGCGCTCCTTCAAGCACCCATTGTAAACCTGTATCTTCAGAAATTATAATGGAGGGTTTCCCTCCGGGGGTTGTCACGAATGCAGCATAAAACTCTAAAAATACAATATTTTTCGTGGGGAGCTAACCGAAGTCCAACGAACACCAGGTGAACAAAGGCATACAGATGGCCAATACCCATGGGTTTAATTACTTATGCATGGGCTTCTTAACAGACGGGAAAAGACCCGGGACTTTGGATGCAGGTGAACGCTGGGGTACCTAGAAATGGTTCCAACCTTCTGAATTTAATTTACAATTTTCACAATCTTTTGTCCTGTAAAACAGTATACCGAAACCCGAATAGCATCCTTTCCCAAAATAAGCGATTTTGAACGTTTGTGTATTCTCTCGTACATTCAAATTTTAACGGTTCCCTGTTAAATAGTTGAAATGTGTAAACTAAACATCGCTCCCTACTGGCTCATCTCTGAGTTGATTTTGGGGTCATGTTGTTTGACCTTTTTAGCTTATAGTGAGCGCTGAAAAATCGCCAGAACAATTGTGCATATAATGAGGCGCCAAAGAACGCCTATAATCATATCCTATGCCACCCGAAGTTCATTAATTAGCACCAAATATGATGGTCCTGACGTTATTCGTAAACCATATTTCGAACCGCACGATCTTTCTCTGTCGCTACTGCCCCTCAGAACAGCTTTTTATGTCTCTTTCTATCTACCTCAAGAGGTACCACCAACGCTGAAGCAATAGTTTCCCACGAGGTCGGTTGTATAAGCCATAATCCTGACTTCACTACATGAGACAATTTTTCGATAGATAATTGAAGGACAATAATCAATCTGCTGTAAAATGTTGCTGCTAATTATAGCGGCTAGCTTGATGCAAGAAGGTATGCCAGCAGACAAAAACCTACAAACTCTAGAGTTTAAGAAAATAATCAGCACGTCTTCGTAGCGAACCTTGTCATCAACACCGGCGCAGATGAAGTGGCTGTATGGCATTAAAGCACCATTTCCTAATATGGTGTTGCTCCCAGTGATAATGACGATGAGATGACGAGCAACTTGTGTGGCTCGTTCAGTCTCACAATGGATAATAAGCTATTAGTCAGGGATGTAGACCGTGACATTGCAAGTTCACCA